GGCATTTGTTATGGCGCCTAGGAAACTGATAGATATTCCCACTCACATTGGGGCAGAGAAAGAAAGCTCACGTGTCCTCTAGTAGCCCTTTAGATTGAGGGGTCTAGGTTGAGCTGGTGTGTTTTCCAGGATTCTCTGATTTCCTTATAAATACACATGGTTCTAAATTTGCAAGCTCCCTATTCCATTATTGTTTTAGATCAGAGAACACAGATACACTATTAATAATCATTATCAAAAGTATGAGCAAATCCCTATTCCAGGATGCCAGGGATTCACAGAGCATATTAAAACGCCGCAGCCCTTATTTTCTGGGACACTGAGTCCAAGGCCAGCATGTTGATCGTACAGTGCCATTTATTTTAATTTGCTAACCCATGCAAGGAATTACTGAGCACCTACTCTGCGTTGTGTGCTGTGAGATGTTTAGTCATAGCCTTGAAAAATAGCAAAGAGAACGGCGTAAAGGGAAGCTTGACGTACTGTTTTATTTCAGGACCTGCCTGTCTCCCAGGGGGCCCTGGGTAAAGGGCCAGGTGCACACACAGTGACTAAGCATCTGGAGGCGAGAGGTGGCAGAGACTGCCAGCCATCCCTCTTCCCCACTCCTGGCGCACTCCTCCCACAGCCCTGTGGCTGCGGCCACCTTAGGACACTGCAGGTGGCCCACCTCTGTTGGCTAATGCTGAGAAGTCAGGCTGCTCTCCTGCAGCTCGGAAGCCAAAAGAAGAAAAATGCATCTTTCTGGCTAAAAGGACGCCCCCTCCCTAGGCCCTGTGCCAGCGGCAGCGTTCTGGCAGAGCGTGGCCCTGACTGCCACACGCAGGCGAGCACGGCCACCGGGAGTCGGGGACTTCTCGCCACTCCCTCGTCCAAAAGGCAGCTGCTCCAGCAAACCCCGAATTAAAGCAGGTGCCTGCTGCACGCCAGCTGACAGCCCTTATAAGACAAAATGGCAAAAGCCACTGCCGCTGCTGTGCCCTCGAGACCTTCCATTCAAATACGCAGCTTTCCAGGCATCCTCCCGGCCCCTCCCACCGACCTGCAGGTGGCCCCGTGCACACCTGTGTCCTTGACCGAGGGCGCGGGCGACGGGCCACCTGGTCAACTCTCTCCCTGCGTCCTCGGCAAGGCCTCGGTTCTCCTGTCCTTTTGGTGAGGACCACCACCTGTGGGATTTTCACTTATCTCTGTGAAGTGAAAAGAAAAAAAAAAAAAATAAAGCAAGGCATATTTAAAACGAAAGCCAAAAAGCTTAAGCTCCTCTTGGGAAAGCAGTCTCCTCCTGGGACTGGCTTTGCTGTGCAAAGAAAAGCAAAGGCAAGAACAGGAGCTCCAGGCTGCCGCCACCCCCTGACGGGCAGGTGGTCGGCTGGGCAGGGCCGGGCCCCCTCTTCACGGGCGCACCTGGTGGCTCTATTAGTCAGGGCCCGAGGGGCAAGCGGGGCAGTGTGGCCATTGTCGCCGCCGCGGGCCCCTGACGCCGGCTGGAGCCAGTCTCAGGCAGACCGTAGGGTTTCGTTGGACTGACGCTCTGCCTTTCTGAAATGGAGATAATTCCACTTTGCACTTTTGCATCTTTAGAGGCTTAATTAATTGACAGCGATTAAATGCTTTGAAATCAAAAACTGCTAGAATAGATAGCACATCTCATGAAGAGAGGTCACGGCTCCGGCCTTCCTGCTGAGATGCTGGAATCATAATTCAATACCAGTCACTAGTTTTAGTGTGTGGCCTCGATATTTCTGTCTCTGTGCGCTGCAGGCAGTGGACTGAAAGGGCCTTATTACTGCCTGCTCTTTGTCGGATGGATGGACCGTTGTATTCCTCCGTGTTCCCGCTCTAGCTGCCGAGCCCCTGCCCATGCTGGTTCCTGGGCCCGCAGAGCCCTTCCCCACTCTCACACGTCCCTCCCCTTCTCTTGTGGTCTCTCGGGCCCGCCCCTCCAGCCTCAGAGGACACATCTCCCTGGGAAGCCCGCCTGGGCCCCCTGGGCACGCCCGCTACCCCCGAGCTGGGCTCTCCCCTCTGGGCTCCCTGTCTCTTTCACGATACTGCCTTTGTCCCCTTTTGCTGCTTCTGCAGACGGAGCAGGAACCGTGGCTTGGCTGTCCCTGACAGCTGGCACGGTATTGGCATGTGGTAGGTTCTCAGGGACTTTCTGGTGACTGGAGAACTGAAAAGTGCTGGCGGCGAGACTGATATCAAGAGGTTAATCAAGGAGGGAATAAGCCCCTTTCGTTATTTCATGAGTCTTCAGGGAAACCAAAGCCCACACAGATTTCGGGGAATCCACTTCCAGGCTCTCAACTTCCGGAAACTGATCCACCCATTTCATGATGTATGGAAGTCAAATCATTATGCTGGACACCTTAAACTTATACAGTGCTGTGTGTCCATTATATCTCAATAAAACTGGAGGGGAAAAAAAAAGAAAACCTTCCTGTCACTCATCCTGAATCGCTCTGGAGTGTCAACATCTCTAGGACACCAAGAAAGGGACAATGCCAGAATGCACTATTCCTGAGGACGCCCTGAGGGCGAGGCAAGGAGATCTCTAGACGCTTTGACGGGAGCAGTTCACCTGTACAAGGAACCCAGGCAGCGCCCCATCCCTCTGCCTGCATCCGTCTCTGCCCACCGGCTGCCTCTCTCCAGCTGAGGCCAAGATTCAAATGCAGAACTGAGGTGGTCGTCATGGGGACTGATACATCTTCTACCAAATGATGTCTGATTTCGCTGATTGATGTGAGAGCAAAGACTGGCTTTGTCATTTTGGTTTCATGAATTGGATGAGCTAAAATCTGCTGCTCCAAGATTTTAATACAATATGTGTTTAAAGCAGGTAGACAATATAAAATATGCAGGAAAATAAATCTTTTAAAATGATTTAAACATATAGTTAAAAATTTGAACTGTTTACCTAAAAATGTGTGAAGAGATACACACTGTTTCAAAATTGTTTTAGGGGCTAAACAGGCAAAAAAGCAAAAAGGTAGGGGCCAGTACAGGCGATTCACAGGTGAGGGGCACAAGAGGACAGGAGGACCCCAGACTCCAGAGGCGGGAAAACCCTAGAATCCAGAGGAGGGTGGACCTCCAGCCTCCAGAGATGGAAGGACCTCAGACTTAGGAAAGAGAAGAGAGAAGTAAAACGCAGGGCAGAATCCACATCCTTGTCTTTTTCAGCATCTAATAGTGACTCATGGCCTCCCACATTCTAGAAGCTTCCTCCATCTTCAAGACAAGGTGAAGAGCATCTTCTCTCCTCTGAACTCCCACCTCCCTTTTATAAGGACTCGATTCCGTCAGGTGCTCCTGGATGATGCAGGGTAATCTCCCCATCTCAAGATCCTTAACGTAGCCATATCTGTCAAGTTCATTTTGCCGTGTAAGCTAACATATTCACAGCCTCTGAGGATGAGAACGTGGACATTTGGGGGGGACCACCATTCAGCCTAATACATGGGGCGTGTTGTATATGTTGAGTGCCGGGCGAAAAGAAGCAAAACAGGCTCAGGGTGCTGTGGCTGAATGGGAGTGAGTTTGCTCTTTATATGGGGGAGTCAGGGACACCCTCACAGATAAGGTGACTTTTGAGCACAGACTTTACCTGCCTTGGTATTCCTGTAGCGGTCCTGGCAAAAATATTCATCTTCCAAGAACGAGTTCAAGTTCCCCTCCGGTGGAAAACCTGATGCCATCCACCACCTCCCCTGTTGAGTTGGTGTGGCCAAGCGAGTTTCCACACATCCCACTAGGATAATGCTTGGCATCCTATGCAATCTTTTCTTTTTTTTTTTTTTTTTTGCTTATGAAGGGCTTTCCTTATCGGTTTATGAGCTTCTTGAGGGCAGGGACAATGTATTGTGACACCCCCAACCCTGCCCAGCACAGTGCCAGGCACCGATGTCCAGCCAATACTTGCTAACTGGGCTTGGAATCAAACATGAAATCAAATTCTCCTCTCCTGCATAGTAGTTATATGACAATAGGTGAGCTATTAAATCTCCCCACGACTCTTTTCTCATTTGTGAACGAGATGATGATAATAATAATGTCACCTGCTTTCCAGGATTAATTCGGGAATCCAAGGAGGACAAAAGTATGTAAAACTTCTAGCAACTGGCTTATGGGTTTCTATTTTTTTAAATTAATTAATTAACTTTTATGTTTGGCTGTGTTGGGTCCTCGTTGCTGCGTGCAGGCTTTTCTCTAGTTGTGGCGAGCGGGGCCTACTCTTCGTTGCGGTGCACGGGCTTCTCACTGCGGTGGCTTCTCTTGTTGCGGAGCTCTAGGTGCGCAGGCTTCAGTAGTTGTGTCACGTGGGCTCAGTAGTTGTGGCTCGAGGGCTGTAGAGCGCAGGCTCAGTAGTTGTGGTGCACGGGCTTAGTTGCTCTGCGGCATGTGGGATCTTCATGGACCAGGGCTCGGACCTGTGTCCCCTGCATTGGCATGCGGATTCTTAACCACTGCGCCACCAGGGAAGCCCTGGGTTTCTATTAAATTATATAAAGTTGTGTTCTGATATTGGGGGTGAAGGGCAGTTAATAGAAAAGTAAATGTTGAAAACTTGTCACTAGTAACAAACTTAGGCTGAGGACCTGAGCTGGGTGCCTACTAAGGTGCAGACACCACCCACCCGGGCTGAGGTTTCTAGCCTGGGACCAGCAGGAACCTTGCTTGTTTCACTCATGTTGCATCTCCCCTGGGGCCTAGAACATATATGTTTAGCTCAGCAAAGATGTGTTGAGCACCTTCTGTGTGCCAGGAACTGTGCTGGGTGCCAGGGGTACACAGTGACCAGAGAGACCCATTTTTTAGCCTCACAGAGGCAACGTGAACTAAATAGAGGAGAAGTGCCCAGACTCTGAGGCTGGTGAGACTCGCAGGGCTGTGCTTTGGGTGGTGTGGGGACATCCGCATTTCCGGCTGTGGTGTAATTTTGAGAGAAGACGGTTCTTTCTTAAGATACCCCTGATTTTCCACGCAGGCTTTTGTTGACAGCAACACAGGTTTACATCTGTGAAATTCGCTAATGCACAATTCCGCTCTGATGCATTGTAAGGCATTTTATGACATCCGTGTAACTCTGTTAAAGAATATGCTTACAACTGGGAGGAAAGGACAACAGCCCAGGAGCAGAGCGGTGTGGGCTCTCAGGAAATTTCCATCTTCTCGCTTAGAGCTGTTAACCATCATGCTTGGTGTTTCCCTGACTCTAAGATGCTGTTTCTGAGAAAAATGTGAGTTTCCTGGTGAAATGCCCTCTGTCGGCTCTGAGATGGATGTTGACAGGACGTCAGCTTTCTCTGCCTTCCCAGCAAGATAGGAGGCCTGAGCTTCTGTCCCCTGGAGAAGGTGACAGAGGGAAAGCCTTGTGCTTGCTTGTGTTCGCAGGTCGTCACGCCATTGGCACTCGTTTCGCGGCTGGCGAAAGGCCGCTGAGCGCTCCCTGCCCTTCACCACAGAGATGACTGCAGTCTCCAAGTCCAGGTACCGGTCAAGTGGCCACGGCAACGAACGTGGACACCAGGGGCGCACGGACAGATCCGAGTACCGGGATGTCCCTGGTCCCACCCAGAAGGTGCTGGGGGCAACCTCCCTGCCACCTGCCTGACGCTCCTAAGCTCAGATTTGCCCCTTACTTGCCAACCTCTGGCCTCTTACGCGCAGTGTCTGCTTTTCCTGGGATCAGCATCTTTTCTCCGGGTCGCTGCTTAGATTTTTCTTCCTTCCTGTGTGTCCTGGACACTGGCACAGGTTCAAGAATGATGGGAAAGGGTGACATGGCCATGGGGTTTGTGAGGCCCGATCTGGCCTATTTCGAAATGTAAATTTGGTTTTAAGTTATAAAAGAGCTATAAAAACCTTGCACTAAATAAGGAAACCTATCCCACTCCGGGGCCTAATCCCAGTCTCGCTCTACCCGGCTCGGCTCCCTCATTATACTTGTTTAATACAGTGTGGTTTCCATTCAGCCTTCTCTTCCTGTTTTTACACTTATTCTTGCTTCACTGACTTCATTATCAGCAGAATTTTGCAACTTTTTTTTAACACAGCCATAAATACTATTCAATTCAACAAATGCATACAAATGGTTTCCATTAGAATTTTAATCTACTCTCAAAATGAAAGAAAAGCTTAATATAAATCTTTTTAAATTACCAGAACATAAATGCAGACAGGGACAGCTCCACCTAGACTATGCACAAGGGGTCACATCCCACTGTCCTCGCTCATAAATTAATTGAGGTCTTTCGCCACCATCACCGAACAGTGCATCCTGGAAAGATCATATCTGTCAAGATTTCAGATTGGTTCCCTCAGACTTTGTAAAAGTCCCAGCGTACAATACCTTCATTATGCCCATGAGGATGGCTGTCTCCCCAACTGGAAAGAAATAGGTGTTTTTGTTCTGTTGGACCAAGATTTACAGAAAGCAATTTTCCTCCATGCAGGAGATATGACAAACCTGCTGGAAAACAATGTCATTTCACAACATCTTTCATTTCACCACCTTCTTTACGGCTAGATGTAGATTCTGTCCCCTGTGCAAAGGGCTGCAGTGACATTTAATGGCTGAGTGAGGAAGTTACCGCTGAGGGGCGGGGCTGAGGGGCGCCTCCAGGAGGGGGTCTGCAAATGTCTCAGCAACTGCAGCCGAGGGAGCGGAAACACGAGCCCCTGCAGCCCCGGGAGCGACTTGAACTTGAGAACTTACATGAGTCCTGACAGCCTTTGGCCAACAGCTGAACTTGCCTGTTTCCCTCCCGTTGGCTGAGCCCAGGAGCACAGCACACCTGCTCCGTCCTTGAGCAATGGCCACGTCACTCTCAGAGGACGACTGAAGGGCGGAGAGTGGGCTTAGGTTGTTGTGTTGTTGTTTTTCTTTTTTCCATTTCCTCATGTCATAACCTAACGCTGTTCTAGCAGAGCTTCTGCATATTAAATTGCCTTTTAGCAACTGGAGAGGGGGTGATGTGATCTGTGGAGAAAAGGCCCCTCATGTAAATGTATGATGGGCTGACACTCTCCCCGGAGGAGAAAGGGCAAGACGAGCCTGGAGACCAGAGGTCAGCAAACCCCGGGAAACGTCAGTCTTTACAGCCACTTCTCTCTCCCAGAGTCAAGAGCCACTGTGCAGGGCCCCTCGCCTGCAGCAGCCCTGTCCCAGGCCTGTCACCGCCTGTTCTCTGGGCCGCGGTGGGCGACAAGGCTGAGGGAGTCTAGGGAGGGGCATACGGAAGGGCTTTGGGCTCTGAGGGCTTCTCTGAGGTTTGGGTACCAGACAGAGAGTGAAGACAAAATTAAATCTCTCCCCTGCCAAGGAGGTGTGCCTGGGCCTCCAGCAGCCAGCCGTGCTTCCCTGCTGGGCAGCCACTTAACTGCTACCGCCAGGCAGGGCCGGTCCGGGCCGCTGGACAGCCTAGTGGGGCATCGTGTTTCTGGGCTAGTGAGGAGTTTGCAAATCTTTCTACAAATGATGATCTCTAGGCACGTAAAGTGCCACGATAGCCTCTCTGCTTTACCGAGTGGTGCTGGCTGTTGAAGTGCTTATCTCTTGATTCGTAGCCCATTTGCTTTCCATTAGCAGTAATCCCAAGCCTGCAAAACTCCAGTTACTAAGTGGTAAAAGAAATTCGGCTCTGCCTCGAATTCTCGGGAGCACGGGGTCCAGAGCAAGCCCTGCTCCCTGCACAGTCGTGTTACAATTGTATGTATGCCAACGAGGGCGGGGTGAGAGGCCCAGGGAGCTAAGGGGCACTCACGGTGGGGGGCAGTCTGTACTGCGGGGTCCTAGGGAACGGGGCAAGGCAGGGCCGTCCTCCTGAGACAGCCCGAGACCCTCGGGCAGAGAAAACAAGGCATAACCAGGAAGCTGAGCATGTGCTTCCTTGGATCCTTGAGTTGAGAGCAAGGATGGCTGGGGACCGAGGGACTGTAGAGAGGGACAGAGCTGGGGACGGGGCTAAGTCAGGAGCGCAGCTCAGAAGATCCCCCAAAATGATGAGAAAATTCACGATGTGGCCCCTGGTGACCACTCCAGGGGTGGGGCAGCTGTTTTGGTTTTATTTCTCATTGTGGTAAAGCACGAGTACCGTAAAATTGACCATCTTAATCAGGTCTAAGTGCACAGTTCAGTGTATCCTCCAGAGTTTTTTCGTCTTGCAAAACTGAGACTCTGTATCCATTAAACGACCTCCCCATCGCCACTGCCCTGGGCTCCTGGTAACCACCCTGCGACTTTCTGTCTCTATGTATTTTTAACTACCCGGGGTAGCTTGTATAAGTGCAATCATGCAGTATTTGCCTTTTTGTTACTGGATTACTTCACTTAGCATAATATCCTCAAGGTTCATCCGTGTTGTAGCAGGTGTCAGGATTTCCTTCCTTTTTAAGGCTGGATAATATTCCATTGCAATGAGATGCCACAGCTTGTTTATCCACCCATCCATCAATGGACTCCTGGGCTGCTTCCACCTCTTGGCTACCGTGACCAGTGCTGCCATGCACATGGCTGTGGGTGGTGTTTCGTGAAGGGGTAATTTCAGACACGATAGCAGCACTGGGGCCGGTCCACCTACCCCGTAACCCCATCCGGCTCCTCCTGAAAGGACTGACCACTCTCTATTCTCCTAAGAAGCTGTACCCTCTCCTCAGTGCTGTCCTTGACTTATTTCTCCCCGGGGCTCCTATCCCTTTAAATGTCTCCACTTTTGCCTATTTCAGGCCTTCAAGAATAACTATTTTTTTCTCCATTTTTTCCTCAACCTTCAAACTCCTCACCACCCTTAGTCTGTTTCACTATGGAGCCCCTCTGCTGAATTTCACCCAGCACTATCCTTTCTAGTTCCAATTTTTTTCTTCCAATTTTGCTTGACTCCAAGATCCTCTTTTAAATATACTAGAAAGGGAAACTCATCTAACTTGTCTCTATTTCACACCTAGGGAGAAAGAGATCCCAGCAGACAAAAAGACCATAGAACGTGAAGGAGATCCTGATACCTAACTTTGGTGATTTTTGTTCCTTTGTTTGGATATCTGTACACCTATCCGCCTCAGAAAACTCATAATTCATTACTATCATCGTCGTGCAAACGCAAGAATGGTTTCTGATCCGAGTACGTCCATCCTTATGGTGTAAAAAGTAGCAAAGGAAACGGGGTGCATGTGCCCTTTCTCTCTGTCCCTTTTGTACTTTTCTGAGTGGCTTCTCACTCAAATTGTTCATTGTGACCTGGCCACTTTTTTTTAGGTTTTTTTTCTTCCAGTTTTGGGATATAATTGACATACAGCACTGTGTAAGTGTAAGGTGTACAGCAGAATTATGTGACTTACACACAACATGAAATGATGCCCACAATACGTTTAGTGAACATCCATCATCTCCTAGAGATACAACATTAAACAAAAAGAAAAAAATGTTTTTCCTTGTGATGAGAACTCAGGATTTTCTCTCTTAACAACTTACGTACGCAATGTACAGCAGCAGTATTAATTCTATCTTATTGTACCATATCATATACATCCCTAGTATTTATTTATCTTATAGCTGGAAGTTTAGATTTTTTTAAATGTCAGATCTTATTTTTAAGAAGTTTTTTTTTTTTTTGGCTGCACTGCACAGCATGTGGGATCTTAGTTCCCCGACCGACCAGGGATGGAACCTGCGTCCCCTGCAGTGGAAGCGCGGAGTCTCAACCACTGGACCGCCAGGGAAGCCACTAAAGCAGTTTTAGATGTGCAGAAAAATTGAGAGAGAAGTACAGAGAGTTCCCATATTATCCCTCAATTCTCTCCCCCTAGAAGCCATGCACACAAATTCTCCTGTTATTAATATCTTGCATTAGTGTGGCACGTTTGTCACGACTGATAATCTAATGTTGATATGTGATTATGAACTAAGGCCTATAGTTTGTACTTGGGTTCACTCTTTGTGCTGTACATTCTGTGGGTTTGACAGAAGTATCCAGCTTTATCATTAAGAGTAGTTCCACTGCCCTAAAAATCCACGTGTTCCTCCCTCCCTCCCGCCTCACCCCTGGGCACCAGATATTTAAAATCACACTTTGCACCAATTTTCGTGAGACTTTCTACTGAGAGTCTCTGTTTGCCTCACACGTCCTTGTTTAAATCCCAAGAGAGGGAGGGGGTGTCAGTAGGACGGAGTGAACTCTGGTTTTCCTGATGAGGTTTCTGTGTGAGAGGCCGTACACCAGGCGATGGGAGCCCTGAGCCAACTTGGGAATCCTTTCTTCTGTGTCATTGGGAAAAATTGTTATTTGAAAAGAAAAAGGGGGTGGGGTTATGTATTCTTCTGACACACTGTTCCAGGAGGATGTAATGCAAGTAAATGTTCAAGGGAAAAATGACTGTATTTAATGCATCAAACGATCAGATTTATTTTTTTCTCCATATATGGTTCTCAGTTGTAATAAGCTCTTCCCGGCGCCTTCCCGGGACTGTGTCGAGTCCACATCCTCCTGGCTTCCTACCCCTGAGCAGAGCTTCTTGACATACTGGAGGAAGGACGGTCCTTAAGACAGGGACTCGGGAGCTTGAGCCCCTGGCTCGTCCCGGTGACTGAGGTCGGGTCCCAGTTCTGGCGAGGAGGTCACTGCCCGACAGCCCAGCCCCTTGAGGACAGGGGGCCTGCCTGCCGTGCTCCGGCGGTTCCCCTCTCGCGGTCCTGCCCGGGGGACTGGGGCTCTGTCACCTGCTGAGAGTCTCTCCCTGCTGCTCACTTAGACCCCCGCTCCTGGCGCCCCTCCCTGGCTCCTCTGAGCCTCCCGTGGTCCCCACCGTGGGCTTGTCCCCTCGCTTGCTCACTGCCTCTTGGAAAACCTGTGGCCTTCCCTCCCTCCCATCACCACCTGCCCCAATTACTGCGCAACTGTGAGTCCGCACTGTGTCTCCAAAGCTGTGGCTGGCCTGTCCCCCCAGCACCTGCCGCTCCCCAGCAAAGGATCTGAGTCCAGGGTCTGGAACTGGGCAGTCTGCCTCCGCTGCAGCTGGCCTGGCCATGATCAGCCCTACCCCAAGATAGGAAAGCTTCCAAGGATCACTCTGTGGCACGACTGTAGGGACGTCATTCACAGAGAACCCAGAGGATGGGGCTTCCAGGAGTGACACAACACGACCCCTGCCAGGCTGGGGTAACAGTAACTGGAAGCTGAGGCCACGGGGGAGCAGGTAGTCAGGGTTGGCGTCTCTGAAGAGCAAGGCTTGAGCTGCGTTCAGCGATGGGAAGGGCTGGGGGAGGAAGCTCCCACCCAGGAAGGAAAAATAGCAAGTGCGGCAGCCTTGACCCGGGAAGGAATGTCCGAGAAACAAAACAGAGGCCACAGCAAGGTCAGAGCACCAGGAACAGGAGGTTCGGAGGGAGGCTGGAAACCCAGCGGCGCGTGGGGTCCGCAGAGTCCCGCGTGCCTGCCTTAGCTCAGTGTGACTCGGCCCAGGATCCTGGCGAGGCCTCGGAGTCAGGAAGCCTGCATTTTAATCCCAGTTCTAGCTCTGAGGCTGCAGAAGCCTGGGTAAGTGGACAGTTCAAGAACAGAAGAAGACTGTCAACTCTGACGTTCTTCAGCAACCGCTGTGCGAGGCTGCGCACCACGGCCGCAGATTCACACGGAGCTCCAAGGCTCCAAGCGCACGGGCACCACGCGGGCATTCCAGGAGCCTCGCATCTTCCCTGCAGGGCCGCTGCCGCCCCCGCCGGAGTGGAAGCCTGCCGACCGCAGCCGGGGGACACTAACAACTCACTCGGCCGGCGAGCAACGGCACGGCCGTGTGCAAGAGAGGACAGGCAGGAGGAGGGAGCCGTCACAGGCAGGGCGCCCGCCCCCCCACAGTGAGGCTCTGAAGAGCCCTGGCTGAGCGAGTCTGAATTGAAGCATCATCCCCGCCCCGCGGAGGGACCGCACGAAAGCACGTGGGAAAAGCATCGGCCCGCGGGGACCCGGGCTGCC